TCTAAAAATATTCTTCTCATAACATATAACCAACCGGATGATGAAAATTTATCGTTTCACACAGAATCATCACTGGCCAAATGACGAAAATTGATCACTTGGGTTTTGAAATAAGTGAATGATTCTTATTTTTTCAAATCTGAATAAATAAATGAAAATGAGATTTTTGACAAACTGAAATATTATTGTAGAAAAAAATACCTGAAGTATACGTAGTCACTTGAAAGTTGTGTTGTTTTTATATAAAACATGCTGGCCTTTGGTCGATGTCGATACACAAAGTGCCTGCCGGATATGTGTTAAATATATTATTGCAGTGACTCGATTCAATTACACATGAAAAGAATAATTTAAATATACAGCCGCACGTGATACGCTTAAGTAACTCTTTAATATCCTCAATTCATTGTTTGGTAATAAGCGCATTATAAATAACTACATAATACTGATACATTTTTATCAACAACTTTTAGCTTAGAATTTCAATAAATTAAGTAAGTATTTGAATATTTGGGGTGTATCTAATTTTTACTATGTATAAATACTATATGTTCCAATGCTTTTAATTGAAAACTAAAGATAAATTATATTAACATTTATAATTGTACTTCTTATACTTTAACAGTTGAATGTGTAACATTATTTTATTAACTCAGTTAAAGTCTGGTCCTTTAGAACTGAAAAGTGATAACAAATAGACGACCGCAGTACATTGGTTATCATTGTTATTTTTCAATTTCTGTTTAAATACTTCTTTTTCATTAGAAAAATAAAGATCGTTGTCCATTGCCAATAAGGTTTTAAATCCAAGACGAGAAACCGTACAATCGGAGCACCGCGTTCCATATGTATCGCGTTCCATATTTCTATAATAAAAACATTTCGAAAAACATTGTGGACCGTTGTAGTGTAAATGAACCTATTTTTCTTAATCCGCAACAAAATTAAACTATACATTGATTGTATTCCTACTTTGCTAAACGAAGGAAGTGAAATGTTGCACTTACATATTTGCAGGAATGATGTCAGTAAATCCCTCTCATATTTAACTCGCTACGAGGTCGTCGTAAATTATCTACCATGCTATCGTAGGTTTGGAGAATCAACGATAAAAACTTCTGAATGTTATTTAGAAAGTATTTAAAATATCTAAAAAGTGCCTACAAATTAGTTATGAATAGGATATAGGAACTTATATCATTTCATGATAATAATACAATAATTTGATAAAAATTTACTTCTTTTATCATGTTTCGAGAAATTACACGAAATATCAATTTCTGTTTCTGTTGATTAAGCATTTTAATGTAACTCCCGAATATGTTAGAAACGTAATATGGATATGTAACAAACGTAATGATTCAGTAGACTTCATGTAGATTCTGCTGTTCTAAAATATAATACAATCAAACATTTCTAACATAATTAGTTATTTCATTTACGCTGTAGCCACGTCGTTATGGATTTTAATGTACACATGTACAATAATTCATTATATTTTTGTGCAAAATTCGTTTTATCGTTTCCACTTACGTGTATTATTTTAAGTGCTGAAATTATTCATCAAAAGAACACAATTGAGGTAGTCAATGTAAATATTTTATTTGTTGAATAATCATCTCTAGATGAATACTCAGTACTTTAGAAACTTTTATATTATATAAGCGGAATGCGAATTGTTGCGAAAACATGTATATTTTGTAGATTTTTTTCCAAAAATAAAATATTGCTGAGAAAATGATCTACTTTGTTAAGGATTTTGAAAGATATATTATAAAATATAGATATATAGAAATATAATTAAATCATTCATAACTATAAATATGCTGTTACTCAAGCTCTTTACCTTTATTACAACTCATCAACTATAAAACATAACTAACTACAATTCCTGCTAATAAAGCCGCCGTTGTTCGAGTTTCTTAACTTTAAAAGTTTATAGATTTTTCTACGTTCCTGTGTTTCTATTCGTGTTCACTTCGACTCTAGCTTGTGTTGACGGGACATGATTATCTTTGGATTCGATAACGCTCGTGTTTTCATTCAGCATTTTAGGGGAAAAAAGTCAGCCCACTCTGACAATGAGTATCATTAATCGTGGCCAGAATGCTCACGAAAAGGTCCGGCAGAAGGGAATCAAAGAGGAACAGAGTCGTGGCACGTCATTTCGAAACGATAACGAGCAGGCTATCTCCCCGCGTTTCCTGTCAGTGCGTGCCATCCAGAAACGTAAAAAGGATAAAACGTGAAAACGGGGGCAAGACAATGACTTTCTGCGAATATGATGACGCATCCGCTGAATCGAGCCAATCTCTGTGTTATGCTCGCCGGACATGGAATAGGGGCTAGACAAGAAACGGAGGTAGCAAGTGGTCCATGAATCTAGACACACTATGAATATACAGAGAATCTCGAACTAATTGATATGCCGATTGTAAAAGACGAACTTATACATCACACACAATTTTCAAACGTAAATGTACTCCTTGAAATTTGTCGCTTTTGATTAACTTGACAGTTTTTAGTACAATTATGTTACGCGACAAATTTCTTTAGATTATAATTTTTTGCAATGCAGAAATTATTAAAATTACAATAATTTATTATTAATATTTTCTTATATACATAAGGTATATTTGCATCTTTGGATATAAACTACTTTTCGAAAAGTTAAAGTATTTTGGACTATCCAGATTTTTATTACATTTATTGTAACAAGTTTAATACCACTGTTATAAATAAACCATTTGTAACGAAGAATAAGTATAAAATTTATGTTGAAGAATTTTAATATTAGTGAATCTGAAATGGAAAGAATTTATCTGATATTTATACATATATTGTACAATATGCATAAGTATCGTTCCATGACAACTTGTATATTTTTATTTAAATTCTGTTGTTTAATATGGATTATGTTCTCGTATCCGTATACAAAAATATGGTACAATAGAAATCACTCTTTTCTGATTTCAACATTGTTTAGAAGGAATAGTTCCTTGAAATTAATAACATTAATCGAGTTTCATTAAAATTGTTTTCGCAGATGAACTTGGTAATGCTCTTTAATTTACGACCACCAAAGTTATGGTGGTAATATAAATAGACCTGTAAGAATAAATGGGGTTTGAAAAATGCGACGTTTTCAAAATGTGTTTTTAATTAAAAATGTACAAGATATAGGTTATATAAAAGTGATAAACCTTATACGATGAACCTAAAATGGATAGAATAAACTATAGTTTATTGGATAGTAATTTTCTAATTTTTCCAGTGAAGGAACCAGTCAAAATGCTGGAGATGCTAAATAAATATTAAAATGTTATTTTTTAGACGCTTTGACGTAATAATGTGCACACGACACGTTATGAACTAACTTTACAGGATATTCATACAAAGAAGCTAGAAAATAAAAGTTGTACGGGTTGAAAATGAGTCATATTTGGTTTAACATGGACATAGTATATCATACCCTAACTTCTGTGCTGTGCATTCAAGATGCATAGGTGATAACTTATCGGCGGTTAACACTACCTCGGAAGCATTAAGGAGAAAGAAGATCCCGTTGAATATACTTTTAATCTCTGTATCCTATGCATTTGATACATGTGCTTACTTAGATGTGTTCTTTAGTTTCAACGTGAATATTTTTAATCTATTCTTCTTTGTAAGTATGAAAAAATAAGAATAAAGAACTTACTTCGTACATTTCATTCTAGTTCTTCAGAAGTAGAACTTCTTCTATATCACATGACATATATATTAGCAACCATCAGTTGACTAAATACTTATTTCAAAATTTACTTTAATATTACTTTTATTTAATGTATCATTTTAAATGCTCTCAGAATGAATGCATTTTAAAGTAAGGAAACACTTTATTATAGTACCTAAGTATATACCTCAATCTAGATTTTAATGAAAATATGCAATCTAAGAATAAAAAATTGATATTGTTTTATATATGAAATAGATAACAATTTCATTCTATTCTGCATCAGAGAATGATTTGAAAATGGAATATTTTGCAATCTTTAAGAATACGTTTATAACGCAATAACAAAAATCATATTTTCTATTAAAATTTTAATGAATATATTTTATATAATTATTTTGTATTATTTACTTTTTTAATTACACAAATTCTACGATGGTATAGGATATAATGCTTTACAATTCTCCCAGAATCCATTAGACATCTTTGTGTCAACGATCGATATACAAACTTAAGAAGGTACTATCGATAAACTTAGTCGATAAAACAGTTTACACGATCTGTTTTCGGTTTCCATCGTATGAAATGTACGTGAAATTGATAGAAGACTATATTAAAAATGTACATATTCCCTGCTTAAATTGATATTATTTTTTTAATAAATAAATCATTAATTTTCTAAAATATTTTACAATCTAATCTAGAATAATTTTTACATATAGACATACCTTCCATAATTTTAAATTGTTAACTAGAAGAATATCTTATTTATATAACATAATAAATAATATACATGAATTATCTGTTTACAAATTAAAAACAATTTTTACTTATTACAAGCATAAGCAATAATATGGGGATAAAATATTATATTTACCTTCATAATTAATCAACATTTTAAGACTTAACTTCATCGAGGCATTATAGGATACTTCCTTCGGCGAACCGCAATTTTTTTTTAGTAAAACTGAAAATGAATCTTAATAAAAAGAAAACGTCATCTTACTCTTATCATCTTAAAAAATGAAAAATGTTGAAGACCTCATACGAATATTATTGAAACTGTATAAAATTTATATGCCCTAGATAATAATTATTAAATTTGATAGGGGATAATGGTTTGTTTGTTGGGCTTTTAATAATTATTATCTCATTTCTGTGATTGAAGACAAAAGGTAATTATTAAATGAAATGATAGAAAGTATTATGAGTTCTTTTATATATTTTCTCATCTTATTTTACTAAAATGTTAAGAAAATGTTAAATTTTATTCTTTTTGTTTCAGGATTATTCACCAGTGATTCCATTAGGGCGAGGTGATATAGGAAAACCAAAAAATAGCGACGACGATTATAATCCCCCATCTCGATGGAAAACTTTCCTTTCCAATAACGAAGGTAATCATAACGTCAAATGTTCATATTAAAACTAAAATTTTTTTGGTCGTATACATTCTACACTAAATTATTTTATGATAAAGTTAAAATGAATCACAGTAAAAAGGACCAATTTATTTTTCATTTTCTATTTATATGATTTAAAAATCTATTTCTACTATTCGAGAAGACTAATTTAAAATAATAAAAATGTATTATTTGTCGCTGCCGAAAATTTATTTCGTGCATTATGAGTATTACGAAATGAATAGAAAATTATATTAAATTTTTTTTATTATGTTCTCAACACTACAAAATTATGACGAAAATCTTAACGTACTTTGCTCGTAGTGTCTTGAATTAGATATATGTATACTTTGAAATAAAAAGAAAATTATATCTAAATCATACGATAAAAATAATGCTCACAAAATAATTAAACAAACTTACTTCAGTCCTTTTTTCCGAGATGATTATAAAAATTTCTTTATTTTTGCATGTTAACGTATTTTATATTCTCTGATTTTTAGGTTCCGAAGAAGACAGGCGGAATGACGATCGGAACGACTATGACGATTATAATAGACAGACAGATGACACCGAATATGGTCTTCGGCCTGGTGGATACCAGGATGGTTATGGTAATTTAAATTGCATTGTATTATAAAGAAAAATGTAGCTGTCGATTATTTAGAATTTTAATCTCCTATGAAATGCAATTATGGCAATAAATGAAGACAGTAGAATGAAAATTTCTAAGGGACTAATAATTATGCCCAACACCAATATTTTGATTAAAATTGCTTTCGAAGAAAAATAAAATATCTTGTAGGTTAAAGTCATTATAAAACATATTATTTACAAAAAGGAGACATTCTAAAAGTAACATAACAGAATATAGTTTTCTGATTTTATTTAATAATTTCTATCTACTATTTATGTATTTATTATTCGTGTTTACATAATAGTGAATTGAATTGGGATTAATAGAATCATCTTATAAAATGGAGTTTATATGAATATTATAATTAACGCATAAATAGTTCTTAATCTTTTTATGTTTCATAAAAACTGACAATGGTAAAAAAAGTAGTTCATTCGTCATATGAAAATTTACGACAATTGAATTGTTAATATTAATTATTGAAATACTCAAACATAAGTGAAGGGAATCAATTTAAATTAGTATTAGGTTTTTACAGAATTTGTGATATCAGTTATTAATATATTGTCAAGGAAAAGCGTTTGCCTTCCTGTTACTTGTTAGTTTCTGTACAATACTGCAAGATTTACGGTTTCAACTGCAACCTGCTAATTAATGAGATCGTTCATCTTTTGCCTTTACACTATTGTGTAATAGTTTCCTATTAATCGATAATACCACAGATTATGCGCGCGCACAAGTTTATGGCATTCCATAAAATTTAATAGGCTAATAGAATATTAAAATTTGAAGCAGTAGGATGTATACTTTGCCACTACTTGGGTGGACATAATTTAAAAAGTAATAGAATATAAATATTGAAGTTTCATTTCCTTTATTAATCATTTTCATCATAATGCTACTCTAATAATAATTAGTATCTATTTATTAGTAGTACTTATAATAATACGTTAAGAAACTGTAATTATTTTTTACGCAAGATAAACAACAAAACCTGTATCACGTAATGCGCAGTCCAATATTGGAAGACGTGTGTCATAAAGATGTCGTCATTGTTATTTTGTAATATTTTTTAATTAAGTTTGTTATATTGTTAAATTCACTGTTTTGAATACTAGACGTTTTGTTCGATTATGTCGAATTATTTAATCATTTATTTGGTGAAGAGTACATTTAACTGTTTCAATAGGAAAAATCCCAATAAATGCTTAAGCTTTTGCATGCTTTAAGTTAATTCAAGTAAATGAAAAAGTAGTAAAATAAAAATTAAGGTAAGGATTCGACTAGCCGAATCACAATTATTCTCAATCTTCATTAACCTGGGTGTTAGTTACCCAAGGTGTTAATTATCCGGACTCGTAGAGTGAACTTTGAAATATGTACGACCAAATCTCACGACTTCTTTTCATTTATCAAATAAAATTTGACCATTTAACAAAGTGCTGCGGAACTAGTACACAAAAGTCCCATTAAATCGAAGCAATTCACTTAATGTAACAGGAGATAGAAATCCAGGATTTATCGTGATCATGACTCTTTTTACCTTCTTATAGCTGGCAGATTCTAATGTATTTGGTTCGTCCAGTAATTTATCATGAAAATTATTGTGAAAAGATCTTATCGATAACGTATGACGTAATGACGTTTTCTTAAGGAGTTATGGAACATTAAAAGCCTAAAACGATTAGCTTCATCACTTTTTTGCATGTACGGATTTGTTAAAAACCAGAATTTTTATAGCTAATATTAAGCAACATTTGAATTGATTTACAGAATTGCAAAATTAAGTCGGTCGAAATCTTTTCAGCCTGCGCCTATCGTAAAAGTTTATTAAAATGCAAGAAATAAAAAAATTGTGTTTTAAAATAAACGAAAGCAGATTATTTTCAGTGTGGCATAGTCAAGTTCACTCCAAGCCACCAACATTTATAATCTATTATCCTGATTAGTAGCCTTGCTTGCATTGCCTTTTATTTTCTTTATATCTTTAAACTATAAATATGATAACTCATTACATTTATATGCTCATATACTCATACCTATATTACGAAAATTATGTTACTACTTCTTTTTAGTAGTATTGTAGTGTGTTAATATATACGGTAACTTAAATTTAAAGTTTACACTATTCAGATTTGACTCTCCTAGTCGTATTGTTTGACACCTACGGTTAATTTTCTCTTTACTAAGGAGATCGAGGATCCTACGGCCAGAGACAAGAAGCGGGACAAGGTCCCGTAGATGCTTATGGAAGATCTCGAGGTTACGAGGATACTTACGACAGAAGAGCTGGAGAAAATCGTGGGTCCGGAGACCCTTATAGCTCTGTAGGTTCTCATGGACGTGGATCGACTGGTTATACAGGATACTCGCAAGGTCAAGGAGGATATGGTGCTGCTGGAAGCTCGGACACTTATGTAGGCAGCTATTTGGAGGTACCAATGCCAGGACACAAGAAAAATTGCACAGGATCAGACTGTTGTTTTCCAAAGTGTTACGCGGAAAAAGGTTCCAGGGTAAGTATATATTTCTGTAAAGAACATTAATATTCAGTCATTCTTTAATGAATATTATCGATCCTGTATCTGAAATAAAACATTGCAGAGTGACTATGGCAGATAATGAGAAATAATATACATAATTTTTCTGCGCAGGACTTTTATTAATTAGAGGTAAATTATTGTTAACATAATCTGACCAACTATTAAGAATATTTCATTTTTATATTTTGAGGAAATCCAGCGTGGCGATGAAAGAACTATATATTAAATACTTAATGAGTGTTGTCTGCCATTTTATAATTGAGATATGTGATTATCGAATCAAGTTCAATATTCTACTTGTGAATTTCAATTAAGATCTATGTCTGAGTTTTGTTTCATGGGTTTTGAATGCTACACAAAAGTAAAAATGTTTCAATGGTAACAAACGCAATACATTCAATTTTTACAAGAGATGCAATTTCGAATTCTATAGTATTTACGGATTTTGAAAACGTACTCGTACGTAGTTTAATTGTAGTAAGATTCGGAACTTTCGCAGGTAGTAACTTAAATCTTGAAGAACAGAATCCTGTATATATCGTATTCCTTATAAAACTTATAATTGTTTTATTTATTAAACCTATTTGTACCTGTTTAGAAATAGCTCATTGAATTCTTCCATAATTCTTAATATTAATTAATTTTTTGTATTGTTTCAAGAAATGAATGAAAAAGAATAGTTTGTAGGAATATAAAGTTTATATTAAAATATTCATAAAACTTTGATATTATTGAATCAGTATTCGAGTCTAATTAAATGTGCCATTTTTATTTTTTCAAATACTTATAAGGGGTCCAAATTCAATATTCGATTCTACTAGTAAGTTATTCCGTCATATCTCCAAATATGACAGGAAATTAATAATTTATTAAAAATAATTTTGTTGAATACAGGTAACATATTACATTTAAGTGAACGCATCTCTCTGCAGAATTATTGCAATCACTATCATCCCTTTCTGTGAAATTTGAGATGGTTTTGTATGAAGAACACACTTTATTTAACGAAATGTTTTAACCATAAAGTTTGCTGTCAAAACATAAAAATAGCGAACGTATAATTATTGTGAATTATAAATGTGTATAAATTTGGTACACGTTTGAACTCATTTCCACGTTAAGTAATGTTTACGTGATTGAAAAATACATTACAAGAAATAATTGTTAGTATCATTATTATACAATATATAAGAAAAATTATGTTTGCTGCACTTTCGCACTGCATTCTCTAATTTCAAAATTTTTCGTAGTAATAAATAAACGTTCAGTCTAAAAGAAGTTAAAAAAAATATCATTTTTACAAATATATTAAACTCTTTACCATGTGCAATTTTTAATAGGCGCGACGTTTTGGAGAAGTTTATACAAAATTCGCTCAGTATTGAGCGTGTTAACGAAGTATCGTTTGAATATTGAGGTATAAAATGATTTATTCGACATGATATATGTATATAGGGTCCACCGGGTGTTATGGGGCCGCAAGGTCCTAAAGGTCAAAGAGGATTTCCTGGAGCAGAAGGTCTCCTAGGTTCGAAAGGAGAAAAAGGTGACCCCGGTCCTCAAGGGTCACGTGGGACGAAAGGTGACAGAGTACGTACCATCGACAACAGTCCGAAATCAGTATACATTAATTGCTGCTCGTAATTGTCCTAATGTATCGTGTTTCTTTAGGGAAAAATGGGCATGCCTGGATTCCCTGGTATAAATGGTGTTCCTGGAGTACAAGGACCACCAGGATCCCCTGGTCTTCCTGGTCGAGATGGCTGCAACGGAACGGATGTACGTAGACGTTATAAATGAGACATAGATTTCATGTATTTACATAATACACAATTATATCAAACAAAACTACTATGGTCAATAACAATGTTTTAAAGACGAAAGAAATATGTTTTTTTTGATTTTGGTTTCTTTAATCTAGACTATAAAAATTTAGACATTTATTGAGTAGAAGATGTATTAAATAAAGGATCAGCAGATTTGATTTCTAATATTAAATATTGATATGCTCCATAATTGTTTCTATTGTTTTTACATGTTTAGATAGATTTTTATCGTCGAAACAAGTACCGAGAAGAAATTTTTTCGTTAATGAACGTGTATAAAATTTAATTAATTAGAAACATCACGTCTGCATCTGTTATCAGAAGAAATTTAATCTTTATAGAAAGCGAATAGAGAATTTGAAAAAGTAAGAATTACAAGTATCGAAAATTGAAACGTTTATTTGAAGAAGCTTCCAATGGATGGAATTATAATGAAGTAGTTTCGTTTGTGTTCTTTACTTCATTCACTGTAACGTAGTAAAGAACAAAGTACTTAAACATTGTAATTTAGATGTTACAGTATTTATATCTTAATAAACTGAAATTCTTTTACCTGTTAGGGTGAACCGGGTCATCGCGGTATTTCTGGCGAACCAGGACCCCGTGGTTTTAAAGGTCCTACTGGTCCCAAAGGAGAAAAAGGTCAGCCGGCATTTGCTGGAATGTTTCCTGTTGGTCAAAAAGGTGAACCGGGTGGTGATGGTGTGAGAGGACCTCCTGGACCACCAGGACCTCAAGGAGAACACGGTATACCTGGACCAAAGGGTGAACGCGGTCCTTACGTAAGTTACCGTTCTATGTATTCGGCAAAGCTCTATAATTTCTCATAATATTCTTCCGCAATATTAAATGTTTGCTACAAAATAAATAAGATCTAAATATGGATACTATATTTAATTGGCGATAGAATATGTTCTGATAAAAACAATTCATTTAAAAAATACAGAATTTTTTTAAAGCCATGGATGAAGTTCCTTAGCATTGTTAAATGTAGTACATTGTTTACTTTATAGGATTGTTTACTTTTTATTTATAATAATCAATAATCGTGCTTGATGCTTTCATCAATAATTACGTATTGCGCACTTTTCTGGTCAACGATAGCGTAAAGTGCTAATGATTTTTTAAGTGCTTTTAAAACTTCTGTTATAATTTGTAGGATCTATATAGTTATTCTAACTGAAGTTTGCTTTATGTCACTTTTAAACTCTAGAATTGTTGCAAATAATTTATTATTTACACACATCTTGCGTCTAGAAAATTCTTTGTATCTATAAAATAATTGGTCTACTTGTAGAAAGACTACTCGCTCACCAATTTTGATTATCTTTAACCTTCAACTACCCGCGCTGGTATAAAAAGAATAATAATGTAAAATCAATTTCATCAGTTCCCCTTTGTTTATTATCAATTATTATATTCATTTATGGTTATATTCCTAGTAAATAGCATAATTCATCAAGACGATGTATTTTCTTATTCCAATACAATAATATATGTATTCAGTCACACAGTGATATATATGGAGTACAGAATAAATTCAGGGCGCGGATAGTTAAAGGCTAAATATGTTGTAGAGATCGATGTTATGCACAATTTTTTTCGTTTTACAAAATGTTGGACTCTTTTAATTTCCGAGATAATCGAAAATCTTTCGGTAGCACTGTATTGATATACATGAGCATGTACCTGAAACGGTCTCAGGTATAGTCGTAAAATTTTGAAAATACTTTTAAAGTATTTTAAACCGAAAATAAAATGTGCTTATGTCTGACCTGTTATTGTATTCTCATTTAATGCATTTAGCAGACTTAGCGAAGTATGTCATCGTGTCAGATTCTTACTTCTTGCTGTAGAATAATTCTTATTTCTTAATTTTTATTATTTTTACTATCCTTTATTTTTCTACATATTTGCTACGTGATGTAGAAACGTTATTCAAAATAACGAAGTTAAAGCTGTCAAAGCAAAAGCTCTCCGCTACAAAAAAAGCACAAGCGAATAGTAGTATGATCTTTTTCATATAGTTATAACAGTTGAATCTCGCTACGGTCTTAAGTTTATTTATATATTTGAAATATTACTGAAAAAGTAGAAGCACACGGTATAATAATAATTTTCTTACACTATTTTCAAATTTGAAAATAAGTTGGTCAAAATAAGAATGAAACTACATCGAGAAAAGTAAACAAACAAAATGACGCCAAGAAAATAAAAGTATGACTGGGTTAAAAAGATCCGACAAACATAGCAAGGTTAAACTACTAACAATTCTTTATGAGGGTTCAAACATCTTCGTAAGCCTCTGCGTTTATTAACGTTTCTTAGATATATAAATAAGTGTATTGTTATTCAGGGTCAACCTGGAATGCAAGGTCCTAAAGGAGAAAAAGGAATTGTGGGTCTTGGATTCGAGGGTTTGAAAGGTGACAAAGGTCAGAAAGGTGAAATTGGACTGCCGGGTGTAACCGCTACTGAGCCCTTTGTAGGAGCAACAGAAATCACAGGACCACCGGGTGAGAAAGGAGAAAAAGGAGATAAGGTATTCAAAACATCGAAAATATGTAGATACTCTGTTATACACAGAGTCGAATGAAACTATTAAATTTTTCAGTTAGTTATGAAACAACTGCAATTGTATGATTGTTATCCTTCGTATTCCGAGAAAACTGGACAAGAAACTTTTCTTTTCTTGAAACTAGAAAGACTAGAGTTTTAGTCAAACAAGAACATTTATTCTACTCTAAAAAAATTAAAGATGTGACAAACACATTTTTTATGGAAATATTGCGAAGTAACAAAACCGTCCGATGAAATTCTATTTTTATAAAAATCTCAACGTGCTTTCTATTTCATATTTATCCTACTTCTAATGCACTGCATACTGCTAATTAAAAAAATATTCCTAACTTTATTAGTTTACCCTTAAATATCTGTAAAATAATGTAAAATAACTTTATTAAATGAAATTCTTACAGCAGAATTACAATGTCAATGTACAAAGTTAGGCTACAACAGAACAAAATTATTTAAAAGTTAAAAATTCGATAATTAACTTATATACATATAATTTAACTTAACTTTAATATATATAATATATAATTAATATATATAATTTAATGGCTTCATCCGACCTCTATTTCCTTTCATCGACCAAATAATTTAAATTATTTTTGCACTGCAGGGTGATATGGGACGCGATGGAGGAAAAGGTGAACCTGGTCCAATAGGTGACCACGGTATACCTGGTGGCACCGGTATGAAGGGAGAGAAGGGTTTACCAGGTGCTCCTGGTATCCGAGTAAGTCTATCAAAATTACATTTGCAAATCATACGATAATGTAATAAAGTTAAAATTACTGAGAATCTTTGCTGCAACTAGGGTAGAGATGGTTTCTCTGGACCACCCGGACCACCCGGTCGCAAAGGTGACCGAGGTTACGACGGATTAGACGGTTTACCTGGACGTCCTGGTTTGAAAGGTGAACCAGGACCAGACGGTGGTATGGGTGTTCCTGGACTACAAGGGCCACCGGGTCCGCCAGGTGTAAGTATCAGTCACAGAATATTCTTACCTTGACGTTTGCGTTAATGTTTCAGAGATATTACATATAACAAACTATCGGCTTAATAATTTGTACGTTCAACAAAAATGAACTTCTATCATTAAGAAATACTCTGTTCTAATTTATTGACTGACCTCTTACACAGTTTTACAATGAATTTTATTTCTGTGTTACTTAAAAATTTACAAAGAAAATACAGTATTTATAATTGTGATATATTTTGTGAAACAGAATTTTAATAAAAAACCTGCGATAATTTTTCGAAACGTTACTTAATCGATATATTAATTAACTTCATCTTCTTTTTTTTATTTCCTTATTTTATTATTTTATTTTCACATTAATTTTCAGGGCGGTAAAGGCACACCAGGTCCACCAGGGCCTAAAGGACCACAAGGGTTCCCAGGTCCAATTGGGCCACGAGGTGCAGATGGGTATCCTGGAGATCCAGGTCCGAGAGGTCCTATGGGACCTTCAGGAGGTCCTGGCTCACCAGGAATTCCAGGTCCCGAAGGTTTGCCGGGAGAGAAAGGAACGAAGGGTGAACCTGGCATCACAGGGTTCCCAGGATTAACGGGACCTCGTGGTTTCGATGGCCCTCAAGGTCCACTAGGCCCTCGGGGTCCACCAGGAGAGAAAGGATTATCGATTACAGTAAGCGTGAAATTAAATAATATACATACAATTCTGAGACTGAAATCTAAAAAAATGTGTAAAATTATAAAATTTAGTAGTACCACTTCTTAATGTTAAATTATTACTTAGTGGTAAAAAAATTGAATATTGAATTCTAAATATAAAAATGTTCGTAGGGTCCCAAAGGAATGGATGGTGCACCTGGTTTAGACGGAGAAAAGGGACAAAAGGGTGAACGTGGTTACGCTGGTCCACGCGGATTTCCGGGAGATTCGTTGGATGGAATTCCAGGACTACCGGGTGAGGCCGGTCTGCCTGGAGAACCAGGAAATCCTGGAAGAGACGGTACTCCAGGAACTCCGGGATACCCTGGTGAAAAAGGAGACATAGGAGGTCGCTGTCAAGATTGTTTACCGGGATTAAGAGGACCTAAAGGTGATCGCGGTTTTGATGGTATACCTGGACTTACTGGATCTCGAGGGCCAGCTGGAGAACGAGGTCCCCCCGGAGAACCTGGCGCTGACGGTTTGCCGGGGCCAATCGGACCACCAGGTCCACTGGTATGAATTACTTGAACTATTTTAGGTGTAATATTCAGAATTTTGAATACATTAAGTTTATAAGTGTCATTTAGAATTAGTCTAACAATACAACTTACAATTAATGAACATTATTCAATACGGACGGTTATTAAATAATAGGAATATTATTTTGGAATGCGAAATAAAAGCTGTATTCTTTAATATTAGGATTAACTTAGTAAATAGTAAAATTATAGAAAAATGTTATTGGTCTTTTTTGCAAATTAATAACATGTGTAGCAACTGTGGTAGTGGACACGTTAAATTTCATGTTGTGATTAATTTCTCGTTAAGTTAATTATCCAATCAACATATTAATTAAAATCTATCTTCGAATTCTATGTTTAGGGAAAAGATGGTATCCCTGGTTCACCAGGTCCTCAAGGAGAACCCGGCGCCCCAGCAGAAATATCCTGGAGTAAGATTAAATTGGAAAAGGGTGACAAAGGTATACGAGGTGAACCAGGTAGGCCGGGCCCGCAAGGCCCACAAGGTCCACCTGGAGAAAGGGGTCCCATCGGAGTTCAAGGTTTCCCAGGACTTAAGGGTATTGCTGTAAGTAATCAGATAACACGGTCATTTTGTGTTCGTGATAAATGTACGATTCTACATTATATACTTAACATTTTATATTGATTGCGTTTAGGGTGATCGCGGTTTTCCCGGACAAGATGGTGTTCCTGGCAGGCCAGGAGTTCCGGGACGTAAAGGAGAAAGTGGCATCAGTATAAAGGGAGAAGCCGGAGAACCTGGTCGGCCAGGATATCGCGGAGAGAAAGGTGAACCTGGCTTTGATGGAGAAAGAGGTGAACCTGGTAAGTAACAAATATTTGATTTTAAAGGTACTGTAATATATTTGCCACAAAATATATTTTGATAAACTTCCGTCTGCGACATATAAATTGTATTATATTAACAAGAATAATAGCGTACTGAATTGGATTGTAGTGTTGAAATCATATAAAAATATTATGTATCGGTTATTGGTGACCAATCAGGCATATACAAGAAGTTTGTATACCAGTAAATCTGTTAACTGAATGCGATGTAGTCAACGTCAAAAGTGTATTGTAATTTTTGTTGCAAATAGGTCTATGTCCACCGTTGAATTTGACAGAAGGTTTGAAAGGTAATAGGGGACCTCCAGGAGAGAGAGGTGTACCAGGAGTACAAGGAAGAGATGGTTTAAAAGGTGACAAGGGTCTACAAGGGATTTCGGTTAGTGTTGTAGAAAGTTTTTAACATGGTAGTTGAATTGATATTTCTTCTAAATATTCACTCCAACATGCTTATCACTTTAAGAACTCATGAAAAAAATACTATTACTTTTATTGAATACGTTGGCTGTACTCCAGAAATACTGATAAAATCTAATAAAATTAGGGTCCTCCTGGACCTACAGGTCCGATTGGTGCACCTGGACCAGTTGGACCACGAGGATTACCTGGTCCTCGTGGAGAAAAGGGGAACATGGGACCCATGGGCTTCCCTGGCGAACCCGGCCGTGAAGGACCCAGAGGATTCTCGGGAGCTCCGGCACCAAAGGGAGACAAGGGTGAAGCTGGAATACCAATGAAAGGTGCCCGTGGATTAACTGGTCCTCCGGGAGAGAAAGGAGAGAAAGGTCTTCCAGGACCACCAGGGAAGGATGGTCCTGTTGGTTACCCAGGTTTATCAGGATTTGCTGGAGAAAAGGGCGATATGGGAATCCCAGGAATAAGTGGTTTACCGGGCGCACCAGGAGAAAAAGGAGACACAGGCCCGATTGGTCCTCCAGGTCCTCCTGGTGTAGCCGGTACTCCTGGCATGGATGGAAAGAAAGGTATTCGCTTTGTTTTAATTGCTATCATGAATACGAACATTTACGTTCAACTCTTATCGTGTATAAGAATATTTACATGCGATTAATTAATTTGACTTAAAAACTTACATATGTATATGAATTTTATTGTTTACAGGTGAACCTGGATTGACAGGAGAACCTGGTAGATCGGGTCTCCCAGGTTTTCCAGGTGCAAAAGGTGATCGCGGTGAACCAGGTATTGATGGACAAAAGGGATACCCCGGTCGTCATGGTTTCCCTGGATCACCGGGCAGACCTGGCGAACCAGGGATAATCGGTATAAAAGGAGAACGAGGAGAGAAAGGTTCACCTGGTGCCCCTGGACTCCGAGGATTAGATGGAAAACCTGGACGTCCAGGAGTACCTGGCCTAAAAGGAGATACAGGCTTCCCTGGTGCTCCTGGTACACCAGGTCCAGTTGGATTCGAGGGGCCTAAAGGTGACCGTGGTCCACCCGGATTCCCAGTATGTGTTTTATATCAATAAAACGAGTATAATTTATGCTAATATTAATTTTAAGGATCATACATCTATAATTAAATAAAATTACTAATATGTTTGACTTCAATAGGGCCGTAAGGGTGACGCTGGTCAAGTGTCAGAAAAAGGACAGAAAGGTGAACCAGGAATGCCAGGAATTCGTGGCCCAACTGGTCCTCCTGGTAGAGATGGCATTGATGGCGCGAAGGGAGAACCTGGAAAATCTACAATTGGTACAGATGGATTGCCTGGCCCGAAAGGAGAATCCGGTATACCAGGACTTGATGGCTCACCAGGATTGCAAGGGCCGAAAGGTGACACTGGTGTTAGAGGATTCCCAGGATTGAAAGGAGACTTAGTATGTTCTACCAGTGCAGTTACTTATTTTTAAAAATACATTTTCTACATTGTGTTAATTTATATTTTTAATGAATTATAACAGGGGCCACCAGGTGCGCCAGGTGAACCAGGAACACCTGGTATCGATGGATTACCTGGCGAAAAAGGAGATGTTGGCTTACCCGGTTCTGCCGGTTTCCCTGGTTTAGAAGGTGAAATGGGACCTCCAGGACACCCAGGTCTTAATGGCGTTAAAGGAGACAGAGGTCTTTCAGGTAATAATGAGGAAATGAAAAATATTGTTACACTTATCGGCTGAGAAATTCGTTAACCAGTGATATGTTCTTTTGCAAAGGACCTCCTGGTCTTCCTGGATTAACTGGTGCGCTCGGAGAAAAAGGTGACCGTGGACCACCTGGACCAACAATTCAAGTTAAAGGTGAAAAAGGAGAACCAGGTATTCCTGGACGAATGGGTTTACCGGGAGAAAAGGGAGATCGAGGTCTGGAAGGTGTTGCTGGTTATGATGGTGAAAAAGGAGACAGAGGTACACCAGGTCCAGTCGGTAATCCAGGACCACCTGGCCCGATGGGTATCAAAGGTACGACTTTCGGTTTCTTGGTATATTATACTTTTGTGTAATAATAATAAAACAATTAATGGTACTGAATAATACTTCTGCTATAAACATATTCAATGAATCACGCTAGGTGACGAAGGACCAGCCGGACCTTCGGGTATCCCTGGATCAACTATCAAGGGCGAGAAAGGTTTGCCTGGACTGGCTGGAAAACATGGTCGAGAGGGATTACCAGGTCGACCGGGAGAAAAGGGAGAACAAGGATTACCTGGTTTACCAGGACACAAAGGAGATCAAGGTCCTTATGGACCCGTGGGCGCACCGGGTGAAAAAGGTGATACAGGTCCAAGTGGACCACCTGGTACACCAGGTAGAGATGGTGCACCGGGAATTGATCTGCCAGGTCCGGAAGGTGAAAGAGGTGAGAAAGGAGATATAGGACCACAAGGATTCCCGGGCTTACCTGGACAAAAAGGAGAACCCGGATTCCCAGGTAATTATCGAATACTTTTATTTATTCTTGAATGACGAAAATATTATAGTAAATGTAATTTTACTTTTCAAAGTAGACAACTTAAAGTATCTACTAAGCTTTCCTATAGTATATTCCTATAACTACATATGCATATAATAAATGCAAGATAATTCCGGAAGACACACATATACATGAACAATTATATATGAAATTAAATGTCATATCATTTTTGCTATTCATGAGAAATTTGATGCAAACAACAAATATACAACATTTTTCTTCTAAGAATTTGTAAAATAGAGCGATTCCTAAAACTCCTAAAACTTGAGAAAATAATTTCTTATTAAACGTATCAATTAATAATATGTTATTTCGTTAACAGTGTCATATTATTACATTTAAACGTATGATACATTTTTATTAAACATTTTTACACAAGCATAAAATACAGTGCTGTATTAGTAAACATTTCTAAAGAGGTATAAATTTATAATGTTCATTTAGGCACAGAATAAATGCATGTACAACGCATAGAATATTAACTCCTTAGCTGCGGTGTCCCTTTTAAAAGTCTGTACCTATGTACCTTTCGTCGTTAGGATGATGCAATGACGGTTATACTCGTCATTACACAAAACATTGTCATTTACAACTAAGAGGTTAATTGTTACGCCTAATATATGTAATAAGTTCTATGCGAAGTAGTGAGATGTATTGAAAAATTAATTGAAAATGAATTTTGGATTCGTTTAAAGGACAAAGTGGTCTAGATGGAGCACCTGGAGAGAAAGGTGACAGAGGATGGGACGGTGAGAATGGTCTTCCTGGAAGTCCTGGAGAGAAAGGTGATAGAGGTTACTCTGGTGCGGTCGGATTAATGGGTGCCGTTGGCTACCCTGGTCCGAAAGGTGAAAGGGGTGACGATTGCATTGAACCACCGATGGGACCAAAAGGAGACCGTGGATATCCTGGTACGTGTAAACACAATTTCTATTTCAAGCTAATATTTCTTTGAAGACTACTGAAATTCTTTACTCTTATCTTTCACAAATTAATACAATTACAACAAGTTATATAAATATTTTCGCCTAAAAAGTCTATTCTTACTTTTCATCGATTTAAAGACTGATTCTTAACTTTCGGATAAGGCGGAAACTTTTTCTCATGTTATTTGGCATCGTTAAATCTTGTATAGCCAAGACACTTTTTTGAACTTATTTCTGCATTTATTTTTACAATTGAATGTATATAGGTATGTATGGAAAACCATTAATTCCAAGCTCTTTAACACTAGGTTTACGGAACGCATCAATCTAACACAGATTGAATTTTATAAACGTTATTTGGCAAATGATTAAGTCACCTTTGATTGACGCGATTAAACGAATATATTAATTGTCTACCTTTCAATCCCCGATTTTCAAGATTCGAACGAACGAACATACATTTTTTTAAAAACAATAGTAGAAGCTGCACAATAAACGTCCGTAAACCTAGTGTTAAAATGAATTATTCTTAACAATTTACCTTATAATAAACAGAAGTTGGAATTTGCGATAAAGAACAGTGCTAATACAAGTGCAGAAATTAATAATCCGTTTTTTTATATTGAGAAACGTACACTGTAGTAACAACTTTTCAATAGAATTGTAACTTTTGCGTAGGACCTGTGGGCCCACCAGGAGTGCCAGGAGATAAAGGAGCACAAGGACCACCTGGATTCCCAGGAGTGGATGGACTGAAGGGTGGACAAGGTCCACCAGGACCTGCAGGACAAGTGGGTCTGCCTGGTTTACCGGGACCTGTTGGTATTCCAGGGGCGCCAGGTCTGCAAGGTCCTTTGGGTGTTCCGGGTCCCGCTGGAGAACCGGGACTGCCGTGTGAAACTACACCTGATTATCTGACTGGTATACTATTGGTCAAGCACAGTCAGAGCGAAGTGGTACCTGTTTGCGAACACGGACACATCAAGCTCTGGGACGGATACAGTTTGCTTTACACGGATGGCGATGAAAGAGCGCACTCGCAAGATCTAGGTAGGTCTTAAAAATGAAATTAGGTTACTAGTTTTACATACAAGTACCAGTTGACAACATTTATGATTAGCGAGAATATTTATGCCATTTTGAATTTGTCGATATTTTTAATGGAAGCATTCAATTTCCATAAATTTTCAATCCTATCGAATAGTCAAAGAAATAAAAAAACTCACGATTGATTATCAGACTTTGAATCACACAGGCAATTCTATCTTATTGTTTCAAAAAATGATCTCATTTTAATGATGACTTAACAATTCGCGTAATGAATTATCACAAAAACAGGTTATGCTGGCTCATGTGTGAGAAAGTTCTCGACGATGCCCTTCCTCTTCTGCGATGTCAACAACGTCTGCCATTATGCCAGTCGCAATGATCGTTCTTACTGGCTGTCGACCAATAGTCCAATTCCCATGATGCCTATCGAGGACACGGCAATACAAAAATACATCTCCAGGTACGTTGAGCATGTTCTCTGAAAGAAAAAGGAAACGGTGGAGCACCGAAAAGCTCTCCACGTTTTCTTTCGATGAAGAAGCATTTTACGGTTTAACGAGCTGGCACTCGATGTCATCCGATGCTCGAATGATTACACTTTAACCGTTACTGGCCAGCTCAACGAGATTCGTTTGTCCACGACGGTATCGACCGACTTTTTGCTCCGTCGCGTCGCGTCGAGTTCCTAGAAAATAGCGGAAATGCTGCTCGGTTGTGAATCTCTCCACGTGAACCGTTCTAGAGCACTTACTAGCAAGATTATATGACTGATGATAAAGTTACACGGACTTTTAATGCGCTGTTGTAAAGACTATATAATACGGATCAAGAAACTATAAATAAGAACATGTTATTTAGAATTTGAAATGATCAAATTTTGTCTGTTACAAAGAGTTATATTTTTTTCTGATAGCTGATTTGTTTGTTGAGTTTAAATACAAATCCAACATCCTGTAAAATGCACTTGATTTTTAGTAGTTTTTGAAACTTTCCGTTTTCGGGTTCTTAAATGGAGCGTGTATATACTTTCACTAAAAATAAGTGTGTACAAACTACTGTCGGTTGCTGGGAACCTGGCACTCGTGACGTCATAGGGGCGGATACAGTCGCTCCGAGAAATCCAATTGCGAGTCCGGAAACGGCTGTTTGTGTTCTTTGTCGCGTAACCCGATTGGTGTGCGTGAGCGCTTCAGCCAATCACATACCAGAATTGAAAATTCATGGAGAGAAGGCGTGCGCTTTAGAATCTGACCACTCAGACGAGAGTGTCAAGTTCGCTGCAACGAACAGAACATTAAATCTGTACGTTTATGGGGTTTTGATTAATTTTTTCCACTGTAGATGTTAAATGAAAGCACGACACTTAATAGTTTAATTATCTCTTCAGTTTTCTCTACAATTCTCCAATTTCGAACGCCAAGAATATCAAAAACAATTTATAAGTTCTTAAATTTATTCTTAAACAAACTGATATGAACTAACAGAAAATATATAGTACTACTCAGAAAATGAAACCTGGCCATCGTATTTCTTAAATTAATAACATACAAAATTCAGCTCCGCTAGAAGGTGCATCTCCCTGCATCATTTAACTTTAGTGTAACAGTTCTTGGTATCTTTAACACTTTAACAGACATTACTCGTTACTTTTAATTGAAAACACATTACACAAAACTATTTCAAAACCATATAGTTCATCCTCTTTTTCTTCGCTTAGTGTTTGCAAGCAAGTTGACTTCCAATCGAGCAATTTTTACCTCCTCTGTAACTTATTTGTGTTTCTTTTCACTATTCGTCATTTTCTTTGGCGTTATTTTGATCAAGAAAACTTGAAACAGTTAATCAAATTACCCATAAATTCAATCCAAAATTACTACCTGTTATTAAATATAATAATTAGCAGAAGAAACATTCATTATTATTCTGAGTGTTCCTGTCTAAATATTGCTTCAATGAATCAATTGTTAATTAATTGAGGGTCTAATTCTAGAATAGTCTAGTAGGATAAATCGAAGAGAGATAGCCTACTTTTCTTCAAAGAACTATTACATCGTACATATCATTAATACCTAATAAAAAGAAAATACATTTATGAAAGTACATACATATAAAAAGAATAGTTAAATAGGCCTCTTGCAAGATTCAATGTATCTTTAAGAAGAATGAAAGTATAGATATTTGACAATGTAAATAAGATCGGGCCATCTCACCCGAAATTGCCCTATTCTAATTTGCAATGTTAAATTACTTTTTATTTTACGAATTCTTGAAATTTTCTCATATATTTATAATAATAATTTCAGAGAAAAAATTGTTGAAATAGTATTTATCTTAATTAACACACTAAATTCTAACTGATTCGTTTTGTATACGCAGGAAAAGGAACAGCATATGCAAATAAAAAACCTAAAGTAACTATGATCGAGTAAAAAATGATCGACTATGCGTGTTAATATAATTGATAAAGATCTGACTGTTTAAATATTCCTCGATCTACGTCAGTGTAACTCGAAAGGTTTTAAATAAATCTTATACACTTTGCACGTTCGAATGCAAGCATAGATTCATATACTCTTTTAATTTACTTTTAAATTTGTTAGATTTTTCATGAAGGAGTATAAATGTGGTTGTTACAGCAATACAAACTGATTGAATATTATAGGTAGATAGAGAAGCATGTTCCCATTAAATCGATTTTTATCAATTTATGAGCACAGAATTTCCATGAAAAATCACACTCTTCCCGACTTACTTTTAATTTCAAGTATATTTCAAGTAAAGTATAACAACCTTGACAAATTACCTACTTATACGACTATAGTTAACATTTTTTATTATCTCGTAGGTGCGTGGTATGTGAAGTTCCAGCGAATGTGCTAGCCGTACACAGCCAATCATTGAGCATTCCAGAATGTCCGCATGGATGGACCGGCCTTTGGATCGGATACAGTTTTATCATGGTATGAAACTAAAATCTTTTACCAAAATTCCCAAATGTTCCATGTAAGACATACATCAACTTGCAAAAGTATATTTTATTATATTCAATAATCCATGGCAGAATTAACTAGAAATTTACTACTTAACACTAGAAGGTCAGTGCAATGCTGATTACACTTTCAACTTTTCCATATTTCATAAATCCTAATAAATTTTAGTTGACTCAATATATTCCCATAAATAATCAGTTAAGATATTGTATTATGTATGTACATATATAATTGTGCGTCACATACAATATACGACTCACATGGTAGTCAAAGTTGTCAAGAAATTTATAACACTGATTACCGATGACCATAATAACAGTCCATGAATGATATCTCGTTTAAAATTTGATAATATTAAAAATTCGTCTATTAATGTAACTATCTAGATATCAAAAGAATGAATGAAATTAATTACTTGAAAGAAAAAAATATTAATTTATAGAAATACCTTCGGTTTAATAATAAGTACATCCATTAAGTCTAATTTACTATTGTAGAAAGTACTATTGTAGGTGGACGAGTTGGATAAATTATATCGTCGGCTTTAATCAGTTCATTCTCTTAAGGTACTAAAAAATGCACTTGACTCTTCTAGCAACAAAAAATTCTCCTCTTGGGTATCTCTTATCTAAATGGGATATTAAAGCTACTAACTTTTCTTCTTTTTTAAGAAAAACTTTAAATCTTTCAAGTCGACCAACTGTAGAGCTATATTTTCGACGAATATCTTCTTTCAATATTTTTCATTTCCCATCAAACAAACAACTCTTAATGGTTAAATTCAGCATCGAAGAACCTCTAAATTTTCATAGATTATTGCAGATTCTCTTGTGCTGAAGTAATTTTCGTGCAAAAAGAGGTAGCTCTATTGCTTGGTATAATTAGATTTTATTTGACACTCTATACATGAACGTTTATACTACTATTATACAAATTTTAGTTTTCTTTGAGATATCAATATTCTTCTGCCAATAGTAAATTTCTCGAAAATTAAGAACATTGAAGAAAAACGATTGTCATGAAAATTAACAGACCTTTTATTCATAATTAGAGTATGAAGTATTCTACATATATGTCATATAATACAATTTTAAAGCTGAATATTGTAATTAAGAATACTGAAGTAAAAAGTGCATGTTATGCAACTAAAACAATAGGTATACTTCTTTCAAAGAAACAAGAGGAGTTTGGTTTGAAGTAAGGTTCTGAAGACTTCAAACTATTTACAGAAACGTTATACATTTTCCCGTCTGTTCCTCTTCACATCCGTCGTCCTAAACCCCAGGATAAATTCCTCGCTGCAGATACGCAAACCACTCGAACGAATCTCGTATGCGAAACGCAGCTCCACGTATTTCCCATTTTCCAGCCTGATATTCTTCGAGGCAGTACCTCGAAACGTTCCCCGCTTTCCAATTCAAACCTTCATCGATCACGTTTACCGGCAATAAAATGTTCCGTTGAAAACGTTGTCGGTCTGAATCTGTTTTTATTCCCGTTCACAGCACACCGGTGCCGGTTCTCAAGGCGGCGGACAATCGCTGTCCAGTCCTGGATCTTGTCTGGAGGACTTCCGCGCGACGCCGTTCATCGAGTGCAACGGCGCCAAAGGACACTGCCATTATTACACGAACGAGTTCAGCTTTTGGATGGCCACTATCGAGGATAGACAGCAATTCCAAAGGCCGGAGAAGCAGACCTTGAAGCCAGGAAACCTCAGGTCCCGAATAAGTCGCTGTCAAGTGTGTATAAAGGACACGTAGACCCACGCACGCGCGTCTGTTTCTTGCTCTCTTTTTCACTACTCACGTTTCTCGTCTTTATTTTGTGTTCTCTTCTTTTCTTTTTTTTTTACTCGAGAAGAATTATTGCTACCGATAACTAGACCGTCGAAATGGAAAAAAAAAGTTTAATAGATGAACAAATCGAAGTCTCGCGATGGAACGAAGGGACGACCGTTCGCCGGTTGCGAACCTGGCGGATTCGCGCCGGTGACGTTTCAATAAAGAGAAAGGCGGAGCTTCTTTTTCTCGTTTCTTCCAATTTCCCTTGCATACATCTCGCTTCTCTTATTCTGTCTTGCCTTTCCTCTTTGTCTCCCTATCGCTTTCACTTCAGAATAATTTCTGTCCGTATCCTTCTGCCCTTCGTCACGATTTCTTCTTTCTTCTCACATCGAACGCCAATTCTCTTGTCTTACTGCCCACCTTCGATTTTTTCGCGAGCGCCCCCTCATACGCCATAAAATTATTTTTGTTTTTCTATAATTATTCACACAAGTGCCTAGCGTACTATTTCCTAGCATGTAAAATAATATATATATATATTATATATATATTTATATCTCGTTAATATCGTATGAGAATTAAGTTTATCGTACTACCATCGGACACTGCCCATATCCAATATGGCATATTTTACATATTGTATATTAATATAAACGAACTTAGCCTGATAATCGTGTGAAGCCAAATATTTAAGTGAATAGGTATTTTGCTACGTAGCTAATAAAATTCTATTTTCAACCTTCACTTCGTTTGATTTCTTTCCCTCCCCCCGACTTCTCATCCTTTATTTACCCTTAGTCCAAATCTTCGCTATTAAAGGTATGTTTTCGACTACTTAATGATTTTCATTAATGTAAGAATTAAGGAAATTCAAATGATAAAGGAAAATTACCGAAATAGGCAATTTTTGTATCAAAGGTAACAAAAAATGATGAAAAAATGAGAAAAATATATGTATATAGTTTTGGATATATGTATGTGATAGTACGACCACAAACGATCTCTAAGTTAAACGTTTTTTAATAAATTTACTTATGAATATCCATATAAAAATTAATTTTTCACTGCGCCTTATCTGAAATAGGAAAGAGCTGAAATAATTTTCATTTGTGGTAAAAGTCAATAATATTTATGAAAATCAAGTCGTGGTTAGGTATACATGAATGTATACACTAATGTTTAAGTTAATAGTATTAAGGAAAAGTGTTGTTGCAACGTCCTGATCTGAGCTCAGGTTAAGAACACGGAAACCACCATAGAAACGGCAACATTTGTAAAAGAGTTTATCGAGCCATGTCACATCTGTCAAACACACCATTCAGAAGATGCTCCACTCAAACACCTCCACCAAAATAATTGTAACCCTCTAACCAGGGACATTTCTCGTATTCTGTACAATTCAGACACTTCGCTTCTATCTGTAAAGCCCGCTACTGGTTCCTCAGTCAACTAGTGTACAGTTCGTGTGAATAAACAAGTTAACTAACAGTGCGGCACTTTTCCAAACTTCCCAATTTTTTTAATTAACCTTGAGATGGTTAAGTCCGCGACAAGGTGGATCGGAAAATCTCGAACAACTGTCCACTACGCAACAGTTATTATAAATGAAACAAATTGAAAGCATACACCACTCAAACGTAAAAATACTGTTGATATATTGATATACAGAGTCTCTTACCTATGTAAGTGAATACACCTAACTATCTCTGTTATGTGTAGCGTTAGAAAAAAACTTTCTTAAACATAGTTACTCTATTCGAGGTAGCAAAAATGGGGTTAAAAAATGTTTTTTCGATGTTACTTTTCGAAATTTCAAGGTCCACGTTATTTTTCGAAGTAGAACACTGTATTAGTTACTCTACATTCTTATACAAATAAAAGAACGCAGTTTAATAATCTTGAGAACCATACCATGCAATTTCCAATAATTCGCAATAATATACCCTAACGTTACTGTAGTATTACAAACTCGTGGATCTGTTCCGAAACATAACTCTCTTGATCTTAGTAACGCGTATTATAAGATAAACATACGTCTCAGTAGAGATTCATGATGATATTAAGTGATACCATGATGATATTAAGACGAAATTACATAATCAAAATAGTATGGCAACGAGGTCGTTAACTTGCTTTTTTTTCTATATAAGAATATATACCGACTAATACAGAGTTCCACCCAAAATAGTAATGTTGACCTTGAAATTTCGAAAAGGTGACCTTGACCATAAAATTTTCCCTGTCGATTTGTGTACTTTTATTCTAGAGCTTTTTTCTAAGTCTAAACATAACGGAGATATTAGGTTGTTCTCATTTATATGAGACACCCCACATCAGGCCTTCTCGCGGGCAAGGCCAGCCACTTTTCCGAGGTGGGGGAAATACACTTGTGTCAGCCTCCGTGCGTTAGGGTCTTAACACATTGTTGACCGGTCACGGGTTAACTCGTGTTTGCATTCGCATTAAGTATTTCAATTTTTAGAACGCAGAGCAATATAGAACATTGCAAAAGAAAAATATTAAAAGTTATATAAAAGATATGTCCAAAGTTTCATTTCAATTCATTACGTATAAATAAAGTGTATTGAAGTTTAGTTAGATTGTTTCACTTTCAAAACTGATTAGGGAATAATAACCGGTGACATGGGATAGCTCCTGCATAAAATTGTCGGTCAACAATGTGTTAAGACAGGTGATCACTAGTAGACACAGTGATGATCGCTTAAATTCCATAAAATCGGCTTCCCTAAATTTCACTGCGCCATCCCTACTGTTGCCTCACTATGCATTGTCTCAAGTTCAGTGTAACGTGATCCCAGTAGACAGAGACAGAAAATTAATATAATAATCATAAACAGGATAGACGCAGTTCATCGAATATGGAGGCTCGATACGCAGGACTTCGAAGCGACTTCACACGCGTCAAATATAAACATGTAATGAAAAAAATTTCAATTGCTATAATTTCAACTTCACTTTCTCAATCGTAGTACTGATGGAATGTTGAGATTCTTCTGATTAAAATGAGTCCAAACCCGACGTAAATCGGTCTAGTTTTATCGATTTGGAGGACATGAACCTTTAATTTCGTTAATTATCTTAAATCAGTAAAAATAGTCCGATTTCCATCATGTTTAAACTCATTTAATCACAACAATCTCAAAAATTCACTGGCACTACATTTGAGAAGGTAAGGTTAAAATTACTGCAAGTGAAATCTATATCGTTTCTCTGTCTTTGTCAGGCTGTGCTCGATTCAATTCCTGGAAGCAAATAGCTTCCTCCTATTTCTTCTGCTCGGTTGAATTCCACTGCTGGGATCCAAACTTGTAGCATTTAAGCGATCACTATTGTACTTATAAAGTAGTCCAAAGACAGCCACGTTTGCCCGCGGCGGCGTTACAGGCTGCTCGGCGGGCAGTATTGTGCCCAGACAATCCGCGAGCTGCTTGCCCGAGCAAGTGGCTGGACAGGACTGTACTATATACTGCATAATGCAAATGTTCAATGCACAAAAATTTTATTCGTTTTAATTATCTTTACTTGAATTCTTTAAAATTAGAGGACCATTATTCACGATTGATTCAACTAATTTGACGAACGATATGCGAAGTTTTTGCGACTGATTGAACGACTGGTTGTCAACTGTTCAAAAGTTAGAACGTCTAACCGAATAGTTTGAAACCTCGCGAACGACTAACGAACGACTTCTATAATTGGTTTCATTCTGAAGGAGGAAAGATACGCCGTTTTTCCGTTATCGATGATGATGGAAAGATCTCCTTGAGGGTCAAGCATGCGTAAAAATCTTAATTAAGTTTTTAGTCAAGATGTTCGCGTTTCGAAATAACCGACGCATTGTTTTAAAAGTGAAATGTTTGAGTGAAACTCAATTAATCCTACTGCAGTTCTCAGTTCAGCTGTCTATTATACATGTCAATACTACTTTTACCGAAGCTGTGAAAAAGACATCTTTTAAAATTTTAAGTTAAAATTATTTACTGAGTTTAATCATTCTTCTTCTATTAACTTTTCGACTACGCTTATAATGATTATAAAATTATAAAACTAATTTCACGGCATATGCTTTAATTAGATCCTATTAGATAATTCGGTAAAATTTATCAAATTACCTAATACAATGATTTAAAATTTATTAAATGACCTGTCAGTAAAACATAGGTAGAGTAAAGTAATATGGAATACCTGATTTTAAAAATGTCGAAATGAGAGATATGCATTTTCCAATGAAATATGCATCGAAATACGCAGAAATTAATAAAGGTTCATACAATAATCGATGCAAAAATATAAATGTCTTAAAACCATGGTAAAAAATGTAAACGAAATCA